TTTTGATGAGTTATCAGAACATCATCATAGAGAGTAACATTTTGATTTATTAGAAAGTTGCATATTTCATTTATACAAGTGATTAATTATACTGGAATTAATAATAACACATAATTAAGTCAAAAGTACAAATACTTCATTTCGAAGATGGACTCGAATGCGAAGTATTGACATACTTATTATGACTTATTTATAATAATTAAAGAGTAATTACGAAAACTAACCTCAAAACTAACATTATGAATTCCGTATATTAATACTATACTCACAAATAATTAAACTTACAAGTGATATGAAGACGCCTGATTTTCTTCTTTGCAAATATAGCAATACATTGCCACAAATCACTTATAATTTTCATAGAACCAAACAGAACCAAACACAGTTCGCAAATAATTAACGTGCTTTCTAGTCTAGCATCCACGGTGGATAATCCACCGCGCACGCGTATGGAGTATGCGCATTACAATCTACGATCTTAATCTCTCCATCCTTGTCAATCTTCTCGGCTTCAACCGAATGTACAGGGACCATATGCCTATGCTCCTTCCAGTACTATATGTTCTAAGGTCACGATGCTACGGCTGGCCGACAGCGGCCACCATGGTATAAGATTGACTTTAGAAACGTGATTTATCGCCGCTAAATTCAAATAATTTATTCTAATACGTATCACGAATAATTTCAAAAAATAAAAAAGAAATCATCTTCCATTATATAAATTGTGAAAAAATTTATATAAAGGAAGGTGATTTTAGAATCTGTTACTAACTATTACCGATTAAAACCTATACTATTCGAATGTCTAATAACGACTGTGGATATTCAAGTAATATTACTTGAATTTTAATCGGTAGTTTTAATCGGTAATAGTTATCTAGTAACAGATTGACTTCCTTGGTGTTTATTTAAAAAAATATTGTACATCACACCGATGGCACATATGGGATGCATAATTTAATTTATTAATTTTTGTCATGAGTAATTGTTGGTTCAGAAGTGTATCATACTTGTCATCGTTGTGATAACCACATAACTCCGAAATTATTATTATAAGACACACAGCACGAGTACTGTCATGAATATCGAATCTGCAAACACTCGATCCGTCAATCCATTGTCAGCATATTCGTTCTCTCGGAGAGTTACTCATCGAAAAACACACTACAAGAAAGCGAAGTAATTTTTTGTAACAGCGATACTAGGAACATCATTACATTTGAAGAAGGCTCAATCAAGGAGCCGAAACATGTCATGTATGCATACGAAATTTAATTAAATTCAAAATTTTTTATATACAGGAAAATTTAAATTGTAATGTTTCGTTGACTCTCAGAGTTGCCCTTATTATTATCCTCTATTGTTTCAGCATAAATAAATATTATACATAAATAAATAAGGTGGAATTGTACAATAGTATTACTCGATGAAATTGTCAGTGCTCTTGGTGAAAATTTTTCATATGATTTTTCAAAATTTTTAATAAAGAATTTAAAATCTAGATTTGTTTATACGAATGTTTATACGAATTTACATATAATAAAAAATTCTAAGAAAAAGTGTATTCTTTTCTCAATACTTCTGAAAGCGTTTCATATAAAAATTCTGATAAATTTTCACCAGGAGTTTCGTGATATTTTTGTTTGATTGTAAAAAGTTAACCTAACCAGATTAGCTATTTATATTTACACTATCAATTTGTTTATGCGTTAATATGCAATATTTCAACCTTACCATGCGTTAAATTTACATTTTCCTCGCACACTTCGATCCACTTTGCAGCAATTTCAGGGTCTTTAGGAAACTTGAAATATTTTATTGCCTCTCCTTTCATTTTTACCGTTTTTCGATAATAATTATTGCTGACTTTTACTGCACAAACAGTCATTATTTTTAATAAAAACTTTTGCTTACTTTACCGAATAATACTTTACCGCTTTAACAAATATCATAAATACGGCAGCCCATATTTCATTGGCACTCAGAGTCCGAAAGCTTCCGAAAGCATCCGAAAATAGCCGAATGTGACGTAAACTGAGTGATGCGCAAAGGCTTTCTAAATTCGTCCACCGGATGAGCATACCCTTGTCTTTATACCATGCGCACTAACACACACGCAGGATACTCATATACGCACTACTACACACGTACCTCGCCATCTTGTTGTTCCCATCATGGCCGAAACCGGAGATCCGGCCGGCCTCAGCTCTTTTGGCTGTGTTAGCGATCTAGTATAGTATAGACATCTGTGACGAACCCGCACGTATATACGTTTACGTCAAATAAATAAAAAAATAAAAGAACAAAACTATACCAAAAGTAAAGCAAGAAAACTCAAACATATGTGCAATAAGTAATCTGTATAGATATATTATATGTTTATTTTATTCAAAGATTTATTTAAAGAGTATATTAAAAAATATTTAAAAAGTATTTCATTTAAAGAGGTTTATTTTATTTAAAATACATATATATATCTTAAAATATTTTATACATTTTATGTTTCCTAGAGTTTGTTGAACATTTATATTAAATAAAAGATATTTTTTTCAAAATTGCGTTAGACAATCTTATTTCAATTTTTTTTTTTTTACTTTCCGGGAAACAAAACCAGAAATATATGCTACAACATCTTTAATATAATTTGATGTATGTACACCAATTGTCACTTATATCGTCATCTGATTCAGAGACATTTGATTCAGAGATACAAACATTCTCATTTTTATTTTCAGAATCATTTTCATTTTTATCTTCTACTATTTTATCTTCATAAAAATCCATAGTTTTTCTTTCATTTGTAATATTTAATATATTTGTATCATCATGTGCAATAGCATTACCATGAGGCAATACTGTTTAGTTTATGGTGTAAAAGTCTGTAAGCATAACTAAATTGCCTGGCTGATGGATTATTATGACCACCTTTAGTTCGTATAGCTGAAAAAAAAACATCTCAAGGTGGTCTTGAGACATTTTGTATGTTAATAAAAAATTCTGATTTCTTGATTGCAATTAGTGTTTCGGCTACATCTTTTATACTTTGAAAACATGTTAGCATACCTAGAAAACCCATCTTCCTTTCTGAAAGAACGATCTTTTTTGCCATCGATATATAAATTATTTATATATTCAATATATTTTGTGATGTTTTCTTTAATACGGTCAATATTAGCAATGAGATTGGTTGTTGACTTTCATTCATACATAAAAGATTTCTACTATTGAGTAAATCAAAAATATTATTTATATTTCGAATAAATAATGAGGTCGCTGTCGAATATTATCAAACTGTTACAGCTTTAAATCTATTCTACAGAAATCAATTGCATTGGCAACGCTATTGCTTAAAATTTGAACAGCTAATTGTACGTTCATCTTTTCACGTTACCAATTTAAATGACGCCCATTTATTTTCACTGCTGTGTGAAGATCTTCTCGTTCTTGAAGCGTCTTGAAGTTCTATTAGGTTAACAATATATCTCCACTCTATCTTATTTTCAGAACTATCATGAATACTTCTTTTATGCCTGTTTCCACCAATGCAGATTAACTTTAATCTCGGTTTAACTTACTGTTCATCTTTTTCTAATTTTTAGAATTAGAAAAAGATGAAGAGCAAATTGAACCGAGATTAAAGTTAATCTGCATTAGTGGAAATGCGCATTAGTGTCATATGTATTTCGAATCAATTTTATCATATGGCAAGCATCCAACATTAAATAAACATTTTCCTTCGATATTGGATGGATAAAGTAATACTAGAAACTTTTTAGGACCGTATAATTGATGAACAATAATAAACTAGGAAGAAAGCCATTTTACGGTCAAAGCTGAATCACGTGCTTATTATAATTGTGTGAATTTTATATACTGCGTATATGTAGTCCTCCCATAAATCGCGACGCTGATAGTTTTTCAGCATTGACGCATACATACTTACTACCGCAGTAATATATCACTTAAGGTACAATTTCATGCAGACGCTTGACGCTTATTTTTAGCGTCAAAACAGATCACGTGATCAAAATTGATGCTTAATATTTGTCAATTTGTATCACGTGATCTGTTTTGACGCTAAAAATAAGCGTCAAGCGTCATCATGAAATTGTACTTTTTTATAGTTAAATTGACAAGCAATCTAACAATTTTTTATGCTTATAGCATCTTATTGGATCTTAATAATACGTTGAAAGACATATATTAAATTTTAACGATGTAATGTTGAAGTAAATCTAAATCTGTGAAAAACAAGATAAAGTAAGATATTAGATTTTCTGCCGATATGTTTGCACCTAAATAATTTATTGTTGAGATATTGCTTGCACAGCCATCCATAGTGACATTAACTATTACAGCACCTATTTCATGTAGCGATCCAAGTACTATTTTTATTAGATTTGCTCTTTTTTTACCAGATAATGATCTTATTACATAGTATGCTACTGGTATTATCATTAATACAAACAAGAAGAAACACACATACAGATGTTGCTTCTAGCAGATTATCATTATTTTCGGAATTTATCTTGTAATTAATCCCGTAATCGACGTAACCATAATGTTAGCCATTTACAAGTTCTGTATATTGCCTTATTGACATATCATCAATAGTTAAACTAAAATTTAATGTTTTACTATCTGATGCTGCTTCATGTATTTTTGCTTGGGTCGTTTTTAAAGCTTCTGTTGTTATTCCTGGTTTACAGTCTATTGAGGCATACCATCTTCTAATTGTCTGTGGATGTGGTAAAATATTCAAAAAAGTTTTGCGAACATATCATATGCCTTTGTAAAATAAAATTGCAGAGTTGCTGCAAAATTTTTTAACGCAACTGGAAATGCACCCTTAGTTTTTTTTCTTAAATGCCTTTTCAATATTTCCTTTTCTATTTCTGAAACACTATTCTACAAAAGAACAAGAATATAAATGTCAATATTGAATATATAATTAATTTTTAATCGATTTTGAAGTAGGCATATTTTTATATTTCAAATATTTTCCGCATCAAATATCAATGTGTTAGATATTTCAGGAGCATCTTGTTCGCATATATTCCGATAGTACATATCTACTCATATTGGTAGTCACACAGAAGCCTATTCATTTTTCTTTACCTCATCAATGAAAATATTTTATTTTTAAATCATAAATCAATTAGCAATGTGCACTAGCGGATTATTAATGCGATAATGACGTAACTTTTTTCTGTAATCTTCTACATTTTTGTTGATAACATTTAAGTTTTTTATTCAATTCTTCAATTCTTTCTTGTGCACACTGTAGTTTACTTTTAGGTTCAGTCAAATTCAGAGTATCCAATGTTTCACTATGTAACAAATGAACACAATTAATATTTAGGTATAATATATTCGATTTTAGTTGTGATTACTTTACCTGTCTGTAATGTTGCCAAACTTAGTTCTGCGCTGTTTCGTTGAGGTAGAATCATTTTCACAAATAAATTCTGTAGATAATTTTTCATTGATATTCGTAGTAACATCACATATATTTAACTGCGGTTCCTTATTAGTAAAAAAATTAAAAATATTTAATTAGTACACAGATTCTCATAACCATACTTATAATATTTATAATGAAAAAATTCATTAAATATAATTATTAAAAAATTACATGTTACATACCAGTTGATTAAGTATTTTTTTAACAGGCGTGTTAAATATGCTAGGCACTGCATTTGATTTCAAAAAACGCTTGCCGTTGCTTGTTATTGAAAAACAATCGCTTGTAAAATGTTGACTACAAATTAATGAATTTTCAGAACATGTAAAATTTCTTATTTTTTTGTTAATAATCCCAAGCCAATGTACTTTTTTGTTTTTTGGAATCCTAAAATTATAGATAGGTTATTATTGAAATTTTAAGACTTTATGTGCTTCTAAATAATTATTTTCAAAATAAATTAATTCTTAATTTATAATAAATTGTGCTAAAACATACAACATACAACGTTTACTATATTTTGCTAATAATTTCTCTTTCCTGAGATTTAAAACTATTAATAATATTATATAATCGTACTTGTGTACACTAATTTTGTTTAACTCAGTTTGGAGACTCTCGACGCCACAAATACAACAAGTTTTCGTCATTTTTTCTCTGGGATCAACGGAATCAATAATATAATATAAGAAAGGTTATGTGCTCTTGACTGCTCTTGACAACACTAGTCGCAGAAAGTGTAGACCAACGGTACAAGAAGGTTGGTTGAAAAGAATATACGGGGTGTTTACGACAAATGATCGGATTTCCAATCCGATCGAACAGTGGTACTCATTTGGTGCATTTCAAAAAACTCCCTAGCGTAATCGGATTTTGGTGCCTGTCTCAGAAGGTAATCGGATTGAGTTGAACGGATCGTGAGAGAGGAACAATTTTGCGAATTTGCGTATGAACTTAATAAAAGCAGAGTGCATAAAGACAAAGAGATACATACGTTAACTATTATTGTAATAATTATTAGGTAATTATACAGAATCACTGCCTCACCTCAAAAATCGATCAAATTAGGTTTATTCGACGCGTTTTTGCATGAAACGAAAGAATCTGGCAGAAAAAAGTGTCGCTCTGCCCTACGAACCGAGATATTTAGCGTTAAAGTTGACGATTATGGAGGTTAGGAAATCTATTATACCGACTACGTAGTGCTACGAGTATCCTTCTTCATGCTGTCTGACCTCGTGCGCATGCGCTTGGTATCGTTTGAGTCCAACAGAATGCACGAAATTTGAAATTAACACTGCAAAACAAATTGTTGTCAGACACGAAATCCTAAACCTTTCCCTGTTCAGAAACGTTGACTTTCCACGCAAAGTAACTTCCCCCCCTCCCTGCACAGGGGCACACGACTTCTACGATTGTACTGTCGGGGCAGACCTCTGTCCCTCTCTCCCTCCCCCCTGCTGAGGGACGCACTACTTCTACGATTGTACTGTCGCGGGCAGACCTCTGTCCATCTCTCCCCCCCCCCTGCTGAGGGGCGCACGACTTCTATGATTGTACTGTCGGGGCAGACCTCTGTCCCTCTCTCCCTCCCCCCTGCTGAGGGACGCACTACTTCTACGATTGTACTGTCGCGGGCAGACCTCTGTCCATCTCTCCCCCCCCCCTGCTGAGGGGCGCACGACTTCTATGATTGTACTGTCGGGGCAGACCTCTGTCCATCTCTCCCTCCCCCCCTGCTGAGGGGCGAACGACTTCTATGATTGTACTGTCGGGGCAGACCTCTATCTCTCCCTCCCCCCCTGCTGAGGGGCGTACGACTTCTACGACTATGCTGTCGGGGCAGACCTCTGCCGAAGGCCACCCCCTTGCACCCGCCCATGTATGTGTGTGTGACTGTGACAGATTTCCTAACCTAAATAGTCGTCAACTTTAACGTTAAATATCTCGGTTCGTAGGGCAGAGCGACACTTTTTTCTGCCAGATTCTTTCGTTTCATGCAAAAACGCATCGAAT